TATTTTAGAGGCCCAACTGGTCTGAGAAATGCCTCTGGGCCTTGTGCTTGAAATTGTTAGCCCTTGACACTTGGGCTTCTGCTGTTATAAAGGAGAACCAAAACCATTGTTTTGGGTCATAACTGCCAAGAGGTCAAGCCTTGCCTTCATCTCTACCACTGCCTTCATCTCTACCACTGCCTTCATCTCTACCACTGCCTTCATCTCTACCACTGCCTTCATCTCTACTGCAGCAGGAATCAGTTATGGGTTTAAAGAGGAGAATAATTTGGATGAACAGAAAGGCCTATTAGCAAACCAAATTAAGAACGGAGTCTTTTTTGCAGACTCATTTCATTTCCTTTCAAACATTAAAAAAAAAAAAAATTAAAAAAAAATCCTGAACCTTTAGAACTTCAAAATTACAAACTTAGACATATCAGCATTTTTTGATCTGAACTTCTAGTATGAAGGTGGGCTTCGATGGCCTCTGGTTCTGAGGAGCACAGAAAGAAAGAGAAAAAAAAAACATTTGCCTTCTGACTTCTTTACACTTAACATCAACTAGGGAAGAGAAGGATATTCATGGAAAATCTGAGAACAGTTACAAGATGACTGAGTACTATTACAGCATCTGTGTATCCTGCAGTGCCATGCTTTAAAGTGTTTTTCTGGACAGCATAGAAATTTTATTAAAATTCCACATTTAATCTTACTTATGGTTATCACTAGAGCAAGATGTGAACTCCAGGAACCAGGGGTATACATACTATATTGCAGTGGATTTCTTTTGTGAATTATGTGGATTCTTTGTTGCAGACAATAGAAAGAACTATAATAAACAAGGTGAGGATTTGTCTGATGGAATGGGAGGATGGCTGATCCTTAGCAGGGCTGGAGACCAAAGCTTCATCCCAGATCTCAGCAGTGCCCATAGGTGTCTAGCATCTTTAGTTCTGGCTTTCTGAAGCTGATTGGTTCAGGATCAATCGCTGTGGCCAGGGGCGTGTTTACTATGATTTGTAAAGTAAGGGGAAAGAGGAGAAACTTGAACATATGACTCTTAAAGATGACCTGGAGCTAATTTCACATAGGAATACAAGACAGGAGAAAGCATTCAGAAAATTTGGGATTGCTCTCGTTTGTAAAATGTTTTCTTTTTCCAACAGTCTAATATACTATATACCTCTAGTTCTTTTCTGGAACAAAGAGTAGTTGTAACCAAATTGTTTTCACACCATTATAATTAAAAAACAGCGAAAATTAGCTACATATTTTTGGAAAGGCCAAAAGGGTACATTAAAATCTTGCTTTTCTGCCTTGAAAACAATGAGTTTTCATTCTATTTTATGTCATAATGTTTAGTTTATTCCATAGCTCTGTGATGTTTTGCATCTTTTTCTAAGCCATTGAAGAGCTTAATTTTTTAAAAAAGTTTGATCTTGGTGGTTTTTTTGAGAAAGAATCTTACTCTGTAGCTCAGGCTGCCTGGGGACTTGCTGTCCTCTTGCCTCTGCCTCCCAAGTGCTAGAATTGCAGGCTTTTGTCACCTTATTCACCTAAATATTAATATTAATGCAAGAATAACAGTCAAAAAATCAGTAAAACATACCGATTTAGGGAATACATATCATATGAGGAAATGTTTCATGAGGAGAGCTAGAATTTTTTCATATACTTTTGTTCCTTTTAATATATAATTAACTTTCATTTATTCTTGGTGTTTAATATAAAAACATCATAGAAGGCATTACAAATTTAGGATTTTTCCTGAAAGAAACTTGCTGCATAATACATAGCTAAGGTACTTCTGAGATCATATTTTTTTCTGTTTCTTGGGAGTTTTTGGAGGGTGTATTTCAAATTAAAACTAGGTTAAAAAATTAGGCCATCTGAGGCTCATGTGGCACATAGCACATAGAATTGTGTAGGAAGTGGCTCTGTCCCCTCTGGGAATTTGCAGTGGGAGGGCGAGGTAGTAGGTAGTGGCACATGTGTTTGAAACCTCTTTGCTTTGCTCTCTGCTAATGTGTGTAGTTCTTGAACCAGTTTCTGTGTTTCGCCTGAGCTCTCAAGCTGAATTTAATTGTGGGCTTTACATACCATCCATAAATATTTCCGGTTAGCATCCAAATAGGCACTTCAAATGTGAATCTGTTGTATTTTATGAAATATGGCCATGTACAACACTTATTTCACATACAGGTTACCCAGTCAAGAAACTCTTTACACATAACACCTTCTCAACTCACGTCACTTTGTTTTCCTATCCCATTTCCCCTTGAACAGCACAGAATAGGGTAATCTAGGGTTATTCTGGGTATTTTAGCAGCATCCCCATGTTCACTTAAATTTAAATATTTAGACTATATAGTGATCCTTAATGTGAAATTGCTTGTTGAAAAATAGTGGTTATGGGGCCTGGAGAGATGGCTCAGCGGTTGAGAGCAGTGACTGCTCTTGCAGAGGACCTGGGTTCGATTCCTAGCACCCACATTGCAGGTACGAACCGTCCTTAACTCCAGTGCCAGGGGAATCCAAAGCCCTCTTCTGACCTCTGCAGCATTGCACGACATGGGTGTACTCACATACATGCAGGCAATACATTCATACACAAAAAATAATAAAATATTTTAAGGAAAAATAGTTAGGGCTGGAGACATGGCTCAGTGGTTAAGAACACTAGCTGCTCTTGCAGAGGACTCGGGTTTGATTCCCAGCACCTACATGGCAGCTAACAACTCCAATTCTAGGGAATCAGACGTCCTCTTCTGACTTACACACATGCAGGCAATATACTCATACACACAAAATTAAAAAAGAAAAATTACTTTTTTTTTTTTTTTTTTTTTTTTTTAAAAAACAGGGTCTCCCTGTAGTCACAGCTGGCCTGGATTCACTATAGAGACCAAGCTGGCCTCAAACTCAGAGATATGCTTGCCTCTGCCTCCCAAGTGCAGGAACTAAAGGCGTGCACTACCACGCCCAGCAACAAAATATTTTTAAAAAATAGTGGTTGGTAGTACAGTGAGCAAGTGTTGTAACAAAATGCAATTCCTAGTCTTTTATAGTTGAACTTTTCCAGCTCAAAGTACTTATTAACTTAGATGAACTTGAGGAAGTTAATTTATCTCTTGGAAGTTATTATTCATAACCATCTGCCTTTATATATATGGCAGTTCTCATCTCTTGATTGTGCTTGTTATGATCATTATTGCCCATCTTGGTAAAATATTAGCTAAGAGAGTAGGCTTCTGTTGTACAGCAAGAACATTCTCATGTAAGGATTATGATGTAGTTCTTTAAACAAATCATGGATTTGGCCGGGGGAGCCGCTTTGGGGAATGGTCTTTCTAGAGTGGAAAATAGTGTGAACGAAGATTTAGTTATGTCCTGTTTTCTGGCCTTTTGTGAACTTGTAATTGGTGGTGATTCATTAAAAAGTAAATAGGATTCTTTTTGTCAAAAGTAACCTTGCAATCAAGTTAAATTAGTTCTCAGGAGAGTCTAGATCATCTATTTATTTATTTACTTATTTTTATTGTTCTCTTTTGAGACAGGGTCTCTCTGAAGTCCAGCTGGCTTGGAATGCACTCTGTAGACCAGGCTGGCCTTGAAGTCACAGAGATCTTCCTACCTGGGGCTAAAGTAGTGTGCCCACCATGCCTGGCTAGATCAGTACTTTTTTTTTTAAATTTTTGTTATTATTTTTTAAAATTTAGTTGTTATTTTATGTGTATGTGTGTATTGCTTGCATGTAGGTAAGTGCACCCATGTCATGCAATGCCTGTGGAGGTCAGAAGAGGCTGTTGGATTCCCCTGGGACTGGATACGGACTGTTGTTAGCTGCCATGTGGGTGCTGGGATTCGAACCTGGGTCTTCTGCAAGAACAACCAGTGTTCTTAACCCCTGAACCATCTCTCCAGCCCCTAGATCAGTATTTTTTAAATGTCATGCAACAATGCTATTTATTTGTTTTGTATTCCTTTGCTGTTTACTCTTAAAAGTTTGTTATGCGATCAGTTAATTTATGCTTTCTTGTTTTTTAATTTAAAAGTTGAAAAATGTTGCATGGTCACTTAATATTCAGTCTTAATATCTAGTTTTTATAATTTTCTATTTGACAACATCATGATTTATTGACCATGTAGGCACAGACTTTATGAGAGGGAATCACTGTGGCTTTGTACTGTCATTATGGGCATTAAGGATTTCTTGACCCAATGTATCTTACCCAGAGAGGAGGAGGTTCTAGGGATCTGTTACCAACAAAATGATATGAGATTTAGTTTATAAACAAGTATCTTAGGACAGCAATATTGTGGGAGCTACTTGGTTTATCCTACTTTAAGTCCATCTAAAAATAACAAATTCCAGGTCTAGAGTTGCTTGCTGCACTCCGAGGACAAGGGGAGTTATATGAGTGTTTATATCAAGTTGAGGTAGACATCTGTCATCTCAGATTTTTTTTGTGTGTAAAATATCATGAATAATGAGATTGCTGTATATCCTCTATAGGGCCAAAGTCAGCCTAACAAACTGCATTAGTAATTATACTTTTAAACCCCCCCCCCCTTTTAAAAAGGAATATGAGCCGGGCATGGTGGCGCACGCCTTTGATCCCAGCACTGGGGAGGCAGAGGCAGGCGGATCTCTGTGAGTTCCAGGCCAGCCAAGGCTACAGTGTGAGGCCCTGTCTCAGCCAAACCAAACCAAACCAAAGCAAACTAAAACAAAGCAAAGCAAACCAAACCAAACCCCAGGAATTGAACTTTCCTGTCTTCCAGAAACCCGAATTTCCCAATTTCCAGATCCTTTTAGGGTAATCATACACGTGTGCTGTAGTGGGGAAAGAAAACAACCAAACTATTATAACTTATTTAGTGAATTAGTATATATGGTATATATTTGGGCTTCCTTGAGTTACATTGACATTTTAGCAGAAATTCATTAACTCACTTTGAAAGTTAAGCTTTTTGCCCTATTTGTTGTCAGGCTCAATTTTCCCCTTCTATTTCAGGGAGGAAATAATGCTGGCCATACAGTTGTTGTAGATTCTGTGGAATATGACTTTCATCTTTTACCCAGTGGAATAATTAACCCAAATGTTACTGCCTTCATTGGTAAGTGTTTAAACTGAACTACTTGGAGACTAATAATGGTATTTGTTTTCATTATCAGAACTGATTATATTTTTCACTAACCAAATGGTTCCTTGATACTTTATTAATTTTGACTACAATCCCTTATGGTATAAACCTAACCTAGGTTGTCTGTGACTCATTTTTGCAGTAGTCATTGCTGAGATGTTTTCTCATCTGTGGGCACTAGCAGTTTCTTTAAAAAAATATTATTTTTATTTTTATTTTATGTGTATGAAGGTAATGCCTGCTTGTATGTGTACCTGTGTGGTGCAGGGGTTAGAAGAGGGGATCCCTGGGATGGGAGTTATGGATGGTTCTTAGCTATTATGTGGGTACTGGGAACCAAACCCCAGTCCTCTGCAAGAACAGTGCTCTTAACCTCTGAGCCATCACTCTAGCCTCTACAGTCTTAATTCTGTAAAGAATTTTAGATCATCAGATCAGTTTTCCAAAGACTTCAGTTATGACTCACTATAAGAAATATTTGATTATAAACCCTTACAACAAGTAATGTAATTTGATGATTTGTATTCTACTTTTTAGTTTTTAAAAAAAAAATGCGGCTAGGCATGGTGGCACATGCCTTTAATCCTAGAGGCAGAGGCAAGCAGATTTCTATGAGTTCAAGGCCAGCCTGGTCTACATAGTGAGTTCCAGGCTAGCTGGGGCTATAGGGAGACCCTGTCTCAAAAAAGAAAAAAATGCTCATAACACACTAGATTGACTTTGTGGTCACTAGCAGAGTGTGTTCCACAATCTGAAAGACATTAGTCTAGTGTGTGACCAAAGCTTCATAGTTTCTTTCAAAACATGTTTCACCTTGTTTAAAAGGAAGTGCATGTTATTTTGAATGTAATTTTAGAGTTTTATAGACTCTGTTATTTGTATATATTTTACTACTATTTAAAATTTGGAGTCATTTTTATGCTAATTCCTTTATAAAACACAGTGTCCTATTAATCAGTGTAACTTGCTCTTCTGTTCAAGACAAATGGTTATTACAGATATCTGCATTTTAATATTTATATATATATGTCTGTATTATAATTACAGGTGTTTAAGGTGGAGGATTGTTTGTTTCTTTTAGGAAATGGAGTGGTAATTCATCTACCTGGATTGTTTGAAGAAGCAGAGAAAAATGTTCAAAAGGGAAAAGGTAGGAGAGAATGGGTCTAAGTAGTAATCTATTTTTTTACAGGTTTATGAAGCTGTTGTGCCAGATAACTGAATATTTCTGTTGCGTACTTAAAATTTTTCAGGTTATCATAGTATGCTTTTTTATGTCAGTCACCATTAACTCTTTTTGAGACAGTTTCCCTATAGCCCCAGCTGGCCTGGAACTCCCTATGTAGGCTAGACTGGTCTTGATCTTACAGGGTCCACCTGCTTCTGCCTCCCTGATACTAGGACTAAAGGCATGAACCACCAGACCCGGCGTAGTCACTCTTTTGAAACAAGAAAAGTACCTCTGCAGTAAAGCCTTGGAAAAGGTCCCAAGTCTTATGGTCTCTAGAGTGACTGCTCACCACCAGCTTCTAGGGGCTCCCCCATGCGCATTGCTAGAACATTTGCTAGACCAGGCACTGCTGCTGTAGCCTGGAGTGCAGGTGATCCCCCCGCCCAGTCAGTGAGAGAAGTGCTCTTATGCATCCATTGACCTTAAAAGAACCATCCTTGATTCCTGCCTTTGCCTTTCACCCAGGCTTCCTCATTAGGGTAGGAGGGAATTTGACAAGACAAAGTAATACATGTTTGAGAAAAATCCTTAATTTAGTTTCTCTTGAGTTGAGCCCAAATGTAAATGCTGTGGTTACTGTTGTTAAAGTGTGCAAGGTTTAAACAATCCATCCTTAAGTGTTTTAATAACTACATCTTACTGTAGAACCTTGGCTTGCTACTGTTTTGCTGTCCTCCCTCCCTTTTTAAAACCTGTGTCCTAATTCCTCCTTTCTGAACGCAGCACCTTAGACCACTCGGTCATCCTGACTTCCAACTAATTCCTCCTTTCTATTCTCACCTTGTGCCCTGCCGCTGTCTTCATAATCTTGCCCTGTCCCCTTTTTCCTTCTGGAATATCATACTGAATGATAGTGAGATATATGCACTTCATCTTGTGGAGTCCACTCACTGAGTTTCTTTGTAATGTTTTTCCTAGTAGCTCCTAAACCAACTTAGAATCTATGTTTGCATGTCAGAATAGCTGTGGATGGGGAAGCTACTGTTTTTGGCTAAAGGATAACTTTAGCACAGTACCTTTAGTGCATTTACTGGAGAGGTTAGCCTTCTTAATCTATAAGGAATAAACTTTAAAACAAAGGTAATAACTGATTTTTATGTTTTTTTTTTTTTTTTGGTCTTTTTGAAGCAGGGTCTCCCTGTAGCCCCAGCTGTCCTGGAACTCACTATGTAGACCAGGCTGGCCTTGAACTCACAGAGATCTGCCTGCCTCTGCCTTCCAAGTGCTGGGATTAAAGGCGTGTACCACCACGCCCGGCCCATTTTTATGTAGTTTTAATTTTTAAAAATTCAAGTTTAACTTTTGGTGCTGGGGATTGAACCTAGAGATCTGCATATGATAGGCAAGTGCTCTACTCCTCAGCTCCTGCACTTAATTTTGAATATCCAGATGTTAGTTTTGAAAATATTTGGAACCTGACAGTTTATTCTTAGAATATATATATATATAATCCACAGATACACTATATTTAAAGAAAAATATCTGTTTGGATTTAATTTGCTTAGCGCTCATTCCCCCACCCTCCAAACACTTGAATGAAGGACCTGGGCATGAAAAGTCACAGCCCCTGCTCTTAGTCCTTCACAGTAACATGGGGAAGTGCATATGTGTCACAGATGGTTGTATCTTTCATGCAATGCTGGGAATGGAACCCAGGTCCTCTTCAAGAGCACTCTTTTTTTTTTTTTTTAAAGCTATCTCTCCAGCCCCAAGAATGAATATATTCTAAAGAGACACTTGTGTCCCTCTCTTTGGCTATCAGATTATTGAAATATTGGACCCCAAGAAGTCAAAATTTCCCAGGAACGTCCTGCTGCAGAAAGAAAAGACTGAAGGCCTTTGGGCTGGCAGAGGAGGATCTGGTCTCCTGGAGAAAGACTCACAACTTGTCAACTGACATTACAGGAGAGACTGACCTTACAAGAGATACTTGGAACTAAGAGAACAATGGGCAAGGAACCACACCTTGCACTCACTGTTTAGACCAGGCTGGCCTTGAACTCACAGAGATCTGCCTGCCTCTGCCTCCTGAGTGCTGGGATCAAAGGTGTGCGCCACCACGCCCAGCTTGCAAGAGCACTCTTAACTGTGGAGCCATCTCTCCAGACCCTAGTCATATTTTTTATAACTCTTTTGGGAAGAGTACCATTTCTAAAATCAACTCCTTTCTCTTGACTTGTACTTTGCTAGGTACCCGGCTCCAATGCCCAGGAGTATTCTATCCTACCATTTTCTTTTTTGGGTTCCTATGAGTATTTCATCTAAATATGACTACCTTGAGATAGATGGGAGCTGTTTAGAGCAAAATATTTGGAGATTATGTGAATGTGTTTGTATACTAAATGAAGACCAGTGAGAATCTTGTTAAACATTATGTTTCTTATGGAGAAAAGATACATCTATGATTGCTTCAGTAAAAACACTTTTAAACTTTCTGTTTATAAGGAAATTAAGATTTTAAAATTGTTACACAAAGTGTTTGATAAAATGTATCTTCTCTCCTAGGTCTAGATGGCTGGGAGAAAAGGCTTATCATATCGGACAGAGCTCACATTGGTATGGAGGCCATTGTGCATTCATTTGTAACTGCCTTGACTCATATATTTTCAGTGAAAGAATTTAGTAATGAATTTTGTTTCTTATGTTTATTTATGGATTGTAGTTCAGAATCCATAAGGTCTTGCTTTTGTGTGTATTTCCTCTTTTTCTGTTTTGAAAAGGACTAGACTGAAATATATCTATTTTTGAACATGAGTAACTAAACGGTTGAAAACAGTGTTTGTGTCATCTCTAATTCCATTAAAGAACAAGTCATATCAAAATACAAAGATCATTTATTTATACATATGAATATTCCTGTAAGAGTACATCTGTCCTTTGGCAAATCTTTAGAGAATGACTCTGTACCTACAATGTAATGAACTGCTTTTAATTCAGACTAGTCTCCATTAATTAGAACTGGATTCTAAAATTCAGCTGTTACTGGTAAATTTGTGGTTTTCTTCCCTATTATTTCTAAACCAGTAGGATTAATTAGCAGTGTTATGATTTTTTTTCCGTGTGTGTGTGTGTGTGTGTGTGTGTGTGTGTGTGTGTGTGTTTCTGAGACAGGGTCTCCTTGTAGCTCCAGTTGGTCTAGAATGTACTATGTAGGCCGGACTGGCCTGGATCTTGCAGAGATCCACCTGCTTCTGCCTCTTGAGTGCTGATCAAAGGCATGTACCTCCATGCCCAACTAGCAGAGACATGATTAAGAGATGATAGCTAGGAAAGAGAAATAAGAGGTATAAACCATATAGAGAACTTTGGTATGGAATTGAAGCTATATAAGTATGTTTGTATTCTGATACAGCTGCTGTTAAAAGTTTAGCATTGGCTTCTATTTGAAAGATCTCAGCCAAGTATGGAAATCAAGTGACGGTGTCATTGCATAACAGCTTCAGATTCAAACCTTGTGCATAATCTTAGTAACATAGAAAGTAACTTGTTTGGGCCTGTGAAATGGCTCAGCTGGTAGAAACCTTGCCATGCAAGCCTCACGACCTGAGTTCCATACCTGGAACCCACATAAAGGTAGAGAGGTGAGAACTGATTTCACAGAGTTGTCCTCTGACCTCCACACGTGTGCTATGCATTTACATGCAGGCATAACACTCAGACACATAAAATTAAATAAAATATTAAAAAATAGTGTCCTGTATGTTTTTTTTCTGAGTGGACTGCTTACTGTATGTACTCAAGACTTTAAACAGCGATTAGTGTGACTAGTTAAAACATGTAGGATACTTTGATATTTTCAGAAACTCAAAGTAGGATTCTCCACCTTCATACAGAAGTTTTAAATCCATCACTTGGGCCTTTGTAGCAAAGCATCACTGTCCAAGAATGCACAGTTTGTATGTTTGATGAGTTAACTTAGGTACTTTGGGCTACCAGAAAAAAAATAATGATGCAAAGGTTTCAAAAGGCCCTTCTTCCTTCCTTTTTTTGACTTTGAATCAAGGTCTTGCTAAGTTGTCAGGTTGACCTGGAACTCTTATATATTCTAAGCTGGCCTCAAATATGTGATCTCCTACCTCACCCTCCTGTCTTTAACTTAACTCAATCTATCTTCAAATAAAATTTCATTTAGAAGATTGTTAACTAGCGTCCTTCCATTGCTTTGTCCAGTCTTCATCTATTGAATACCTACTCTGTGCTGGGTATGGTCCTGGATACTGAGGAGTAAGAATGTTAGGAAAGACAGATTTTTTGTTGTTGGCATTGTTGGTCTTTTTGAGACAGGGTCTCTCTGTAGGCCCTCTATGGAACTCTCTATGTAGACCAGGCTGGCCTTGAACTCACAGAGATACATGCCTGACAGGAAAGACAGATTTTAAAGAAACCCCTTAATGGAGCATATAGTATAGTAATGAACACAAACAGTATGTAAGATAAATTTGTAATAAATGGAGCATGGCATAGCGTGGGAAGTGTTGAGGTGCAACAGTGTGGCACAGGGAAAGCAGTCCCAAGTAGTGGTAGGCAGTTTGGAGGAGGCTTTGGGAACATGTAACTATAAAATGTCAGGGAGGATTCACTGGGAAGTAAAGACCCAAGGGAGCTGAGGTGTAAGGAAGCAAGCAAAGAAGTATTTCCTGTATCGAGGGTTACACTGAATACATTATGACAGTAAGTATGTTAATAAAACCAGTGTAGGGCTGGAGTGTAGTTCAGAGGTAGAAAGTACATGCTTAGCATGCATGAGGCACTGAGATGAATCGCCAGCACCAAATACAAACATAAATAAAAACTGATCAAACTTAGCTATAATAAATTTTAAAATGGTGCTGATGTAATTGGTTATCTTTCATTTTGAAAGTTAGACCAATTTCTCCACAGTAGCCTTTATTTTCAATGACTTCTGTAGAAAATGCAAGCAGTATTCAAAACAACTTCAAAGTCAGTAATCAAAAAATAATTTCAAGGCAGTAAGGCTCCACACGTTGTAAGAGTCATTGTTCTGATTCCACTGATAGCTTCTTGGGGCCCAGGGAGATAGTAGCTTTCTGTCGAGCTACTAAATTAATGTCTGAAAATACCATTTACCTCTTTTCTGTCAACTATTGCTTTGTGGTTTGCTAGTTTGCCTTTTTAACTTCTCTGATAGTAAAAATTAAGTATTGAAATACAAATGTTATTCATAACAAATTGTATGGCATGCTTCCAAGTCATAACTGATTTGCAAGAGATTTAATGAAATAGCTCTTTTTAAAAAAAGTATTTATTTTTATTTTATGTGTATGAGTGTATTATCTGAATGTGTGTAAGTGCACCCTTGTTGTGTAATACTTGCAGAAGTCAGAAGGCATTGGATCCCCTGGAACTGGAATTATGGGTGGTTGTTAAATGCCATGTGGGTTCTGGGACTTGAATTCAGGTCCTCTGCAAGAGCTGTCAGTGCCCTTAACCTCTGAGCCATCTCTCTAGCCCCAAATAACTTTTAAGAGTAATTCTAGGGGCTAGAGAGATGTCTTAGTGGTTAAGAACACTGGCTGTTCTTGCAGAAGACCCAGGTTTGAATCCCAGCACCCACATGGCAGCTAACAACTGTCTGTAACTCAGTTCCAGGGGATCTGACAGCTTCTTCTGTCCTCTGCGGGCATTTCACGACACAGGTGCACTTATATACGTGCAGGCAATACACGAATATACATAAAATTTTAAAAAATTTTTAAAAAAGGAAAAGTAATTCTGGCCCCTGAAATAATTACGAAAGTCCATTGTCAGGTCACAGGATAGGGGTGTGATAATAAACTGATCCCTATAGCACGTGATAGCAGTGAAGTTCACAAAAAACATGTGTAATTTACCGATTTAATCACTGTAGACCTTCCTAGTGCCCCCAAAAGCATTCTGACGACCTTTCTATTCATTATCTGTTCTTTCTGAGTGAAGGGGACCACTGTTCTTCTTTTACAGATCCATTCTGTGATTTTTGAACTTTAGATAAAATTATACTTTATACAGTCTTTTGCATCTGTCTTCCACTAAACATTCTGCCTATAATTGTTATATATAATTTGTCATTATAGTTATATGAAGCAAGGTTTTTTTTCTTTAAAAATTACTAAGAATCTCATGATATGAATATACCAAAGCAATATCTTTTCATCCATTGACGAAAATGTGAATTGTTTTCAATATTGAGCTGTCAAAATAACATTACTGGGGGCTGGAGAGATGGTGCAATGTTTAAGAGCACTGGCTGCTCTTGCAGAAGACCCAGTTTCAAATCCAAGAACCCACATGACGGCTATCAACTGTCTGTAAATCTAGTTCCAGGGGATCCAGTGCGCTTTTCAGATCTCCGTAGGCACTGCATGACACAGGTGCACTTACATACCTGCAGGCAATACACTCATACACATAAAAATAAATAATTTAAAAATAGCATTACTGTGACAATCTTATAACTTTTGCTATCCAGAATAATTTTAAGAATATTTTCCCTAATTGTAGCACACTGAGACACGTATTGAAGATTTACTAGATAAATTTAAAATTACGGCCGGATGTGGTGGCACACGCCTTTAATCCCAGCACTTGGGAGGCAGAGGCAGGCGGATCTCTGTAAAAAATTTAAAATCACACACTACAAATTTAGTGTATGTAATGTAACTAGTGTATAAAAAAATCTCAAAATGCTCTGGCCAGGAGCAGTAGAGAAAACTGTTCATACAAAGCTGTTGTTACTTTCCTTGCCAAACAGGGAGAGGACTGCTCAAAGCAGGGTCTCGGAGGAAAGCACTTTCTGTAGTTTTGGAGGCTAAGGCTAGTGAGAGGGTAGTTTTAGGCGAGGTTTTCTCAAACTTTTTAGTTTCACTCAATGTGTATCTTCTGAGTCTTCTAAGTAATTTTTACGAATGCGTCCTCTAATTCTGAGAACTCATCAGTCATTTCATTTAATCCACATACTTCAACTTTTTATTTGGAAACAATGTCACTGGTGGAGCGAAAACACAATGAAAAGGATGCCGAAAACCGCTAAATCATGCACTCAGCACTGAGTGTTAATGGCCTGTAAATTTCAAAGTTGGTTAAAAATAAAACAAATAAATTTGAGAGAAACTTTCATTAGAAGTTCAGAAATCCTAGGCCTGCCTAATCTATGAACTATTTCTGTATTCAGTTAGTAAATATTTGAGAACTTGCTGGCACAGGAAATTAATTAGTAAGCTGACATTGTCTGACATTGTCCTAATAGTCAGGGTATTAGTTGAGGGAGCATGTAGGTATACAAAGAGGAATATTCCACACACAAGCACACAGCTGTGCTCAGGGCCCACAAGGACTGTGGCTTTAGTGGAGGACAGAGGGTTCACATAAAAGAAGCCTTTCTTTAGTGCAGTAGAAAGCTAGCCAGTTTTAAGGATAAAGATGTGATGACTTGTTTATGTTTTGGCGAGAAACTTCTGGCTGCATTAAAGAATTAGGATTCCATGTCAGGAGTGGAGAGGAAGATACATTAGGCTGTAGTTTTAATGAGAAATGATGGAAATTTGGAACTGATGGAAGAGGGATGTCAAAGTGATCCCTAGACTTTGAACTTGATACCATTATACCACTTTAGGTTAGCATATTCCAAAATTACTCTTCCCCCCAAATCAGTTTTTGCTTTCTTGAGACAGTTTGGTCCAAGCTAACCTGGAACTCACTGTATAGCCCAGGTTGACCTCACTATATAGCCCAGGTTGAACTTAGGGTGATCCTCCTGCCTCAACCTCCTGAGTGCTGAGAATACAGAGATAAGTATCATGACTGACCAAGATTAGCCAGTCTTTCACTTTTGAAATAGTGTGGGTTACAATAAATTGGAAATCTCAGGCCTATTTTCTTATTGATGTGTACCAGTTGGCATTCTAATATTTATTCCTACCATTATTGCTTTTTAAAATATTATGTGTATGACTCTTTACCTGTATGTATTTACCTGTGTATATGTAAATGCACCATATGCATCAAATACCCACAGAGGCCAGAAGAGGGTGTCAGATCCCCTGGAACTAGAGTTACAGACACTTGTTAGCTGCCTTGTGGGTGCTGGAAATTGAACCTGGGTCCTCTGGAAGAATAGCAAGTATTCTGAACCACAGAGCTATTGTTCTAGCCCCATTATTACTTTTTAAAATTTATCTATATAGTTTGTCATAATGAAACGAAACCGGAGGGATTTATAGTTTCATTAATTTGAAATGCAATGGAGTTTTTTTTGTATGTTATCTTTTTTATTTTTTCAATTAACAACTGTGGTTTATTTTATTTTCCCTCAGTATTTGATTTCCATCAAGCAGCTGACGGTATCCAGGAGCAGCAGAGACAAGAACAAGCAGGAAAAAAGTACGATGTCTGTATATTTTATTTTGGTATAGTTTAGCACATCCATATCTTTATAGATAAATTCTGTACCAGAAATTTAAAGAGAGAGAGAGAGAGAGAGAGAGAGAGAGAGAGAGAGAGAGAGAGAGAGAATGAATTAGAATATCTTAGGTTTCAGAGGAAACTAGTAAAAAAATAAGTTTGCAGGGGCCAAAGAGATGGCTCAGTGCTTAGGAGCACTGGGTTCAATTCCCAACACCCACATGATGGCTAACAACTGTCTGTAACTCCAGTTCCAGGGGATCTTACGGCCTTTTCTGTCCTTACCCGGCATTGCATGATGCAGGTGCATTTATATACATACAGGCATAACACTCATACACTTATAAAATGAAAATTTTAAAAAAGAGAAAAGTCTTTTTTTAAAAAGAAAATAAGCTTGCAGGAAATAGCATAAATAGAAATAGTCACATGTAACTTGGTTTTTTGGAATGAGCTGATGACAAGACTTATATCTTCCTCGTGTAACTTGAAGCTTGTTTTGATTTGTTTTTAAGTTTGGGTACCACAAAAAAGGGCATTGGCCCAGTATATTCCTCCAAAGCTGCTCGGAGTGGACTTCGGATGTGTGATCTTGTTTCTGACTTTGATGGCTTCTCTGAAAGGTAAATAACTTGTTTTTTCAAAATTGAAAGAACAAATGGATTTTTAGGATTTTTAAAATGCAAAATGCTAAAAAGTATTTTTGCTTCATAAAAAATAACATCATGATGATGTAAAAGTAGTATCCCAAGAAGGCAAAGCTGAGCTGTTTTTTAAGGATTGGAGTGTGGATGTAAGATGCTTCCAGCATGGTAGTACTAATGTGCTCACCATGTCCTAGGGTCTGGTCTTTTGTTTTTAGGTTCAGAGACCCCGTTATGTCCACCTACCCAAAATAATTAATCTCTCAGGGCCTGGTAAATGAGTCAAGTCCATCTTGAAAATTAGATATGTTACACTGACACATTCTTTCTATAGAACATCTCCATGGGAAATGTAATAATTGTTTGTTTGCACAGTCCGGCCACTCCACTGAGAAATCTAGAGATAGATTGCTAATGTCTGAGCATCATGTAAGCTTTTTTTTTTTTTTTT